AGACCAAGGTTGGGCTTAGGGTTAGGCCGGGATTTGAGTATATAGAATGGAGTTAGAGTTCGGAACCCCAAGAGGGCTAAAACAGTATGTACGGGAGAGATTCCCGGAAAGAATGTTTCAGGGTGACGTAAGATAGTCTTGAGCGGTCCGGACAGACTGAAGGCCTGAAGGCGTACCAGTCAGACCGAAGGGTTGGGGAACGGTCCAGATAGGCTGAAGGCCCAGGAGGGTGGTCCAGATATGCTGAGGGTTCCGAGAGTGGTCCAGATAGCCTGAAGGCCTGGTAAGGCGGTCCAATCACTGTGAAGACTCTGTATGTGTTAGGGGATCGCTACGAGGAAAATGAGGAAAAGCGTCAATATGGGATGATAATTGATATGGTCTGGCCCCAAGTATTGATCATGTTAGTGGAAAGCAGTGCGTGGACCCGACAATCATTGCGAGTAGATTCAGGGTATATGGAAGTTTGAGAATAGAAGTTGCTCTACATGGATAACGTAAGGTGAAGTGTAGATCACTGGTACGTGTAGGTGTAGTAAGGGTTGCTGAGTGGATATCCTAGAAAAAAAAGGCATGTAGCTCCAGAAGGAGCGTTTGTACTCCAAAAGAGGAGGAAGTGGAGTAAGTGGATTATCGTTAGTGCTTCAGCTATTGGTAAGAAGTACTGGTACCAGTGGTATCGAAGCACATCCGGATTGGGTGTCTGTTGAGGTTGCGGAAGGATTTCTGGTAGTGTAGAGCCAGAGGAGTTAGGAGGGGATGCAAGGAGGGAGCAGATTTTCCAGTATGGTTGTGATTAGGAAGTTATGTATGTAGCGGAAATTCATCATGGGGATGTTTGAAGGTATCATCAGTGTGTTGGGTTTTCCAACCCAAGGATGTTAGAGCAGATTCAGCATGCGTATGTGATTGCAGGGGAGAGCTCATTGGAGTTGCTCAGGAGATGAAGGACGTGCCATCCTGTTAGCTCAAAAAGAAACGAGTTGGTTTCGGAAAGGAAAGTGGGATAAGTCCTAGAAGTGAATTCGATAAAGGATATGCCAGTCGAGGAAAGGGGTAGCAGCTTGGTACCGGGTTAGGACCCGGTGGTTCAAGGTGATATCTAGCATGGTAAGTTCATGTGATTGTTGTGATTTGGAGTGATGAAAGTATCATCGGGTGATCGTTGGCTAATAAGGGATGCTATCAGAGAAAGAAGCTGGTGACAGGCTTGAATCAGTTGTCGTAACTCTGGGAGGGAAGAGTTGGACTTTATAGAGGACCGATAGTAGTGCTCGGAGGAACCTGGGTCGGTTGAGACCAGGAGCCGTATTGAGGGAGTGTCATATGGGATGTGTTGATGCAGGCTTCGAGGATGAAGCCTAATTTAAGTGGGGGAGAATTGTAACACCCCGAGTTCAGAAGAGTAAGTTCAGGGTGCTTGGTGTAATTAAGGAGGATCAACTCGGCGAGTCGAGTCATGATTTTGGTCGCGTGTTAAATGACCAACTCGGCGAGTCGGCAAATGGACTCGGCTGGTGCTGAAGGGAGAAAAACCCTAATCCGGGGTTTGTGCAATATATAAAGCATATTATAGCCACCCTCAGCCTCTTTACCTTCCCTTTTAGTTCCAGAAAACCCTAATTTCGTGTGAGGCTTCATTGTTGGAAAGATTGGGGCTTTGACGAGGAAATTGTGAAAGGAGCTTGTGAATTGGGAGTTGGCATCAAGAGGCTTGTAAATATCTGGGATGTACATCAGAATTGTGAACATCTCTGAGGTAAGGAGATCTTACCTTAAGCTGTTTCCCTTGTGGTTCATCCTTGGTGGTTGTTTTGGGAGTTCCTCAAATTGTTTTGAGACCTATCTCGGATTTGAAGTTGCATATAGGGTTGCTACTTCAGATCTAGACTCATGATGGCCTAAAATGTCATAAAGCTTTAGTCCTTAAGTTGTTAATGAAGCCCTTTGTCCTAAAAGTCTAGCCCTAGAGCATTTTGGGCTCATAGCTCCTGGAGTTCACGTAAAATTTGCCACTTTACGTAAGGAATGGCTTCTAGAAGGGTAGATCTACAGATTTGAGCCCCTGCATGGCTTGGAAAGCCTCTGTATGGAATGAGAACTGAAGAGACTCGGCGAGTTCCATGGATGAACTCGGCGAGTTGGATGAAGGTTGACATGGACTCGACGAGTTGGAAGAACAACTCGATGAGTCAGTTGAATATTGCCTTGGACTCGGCGAGTCTAGTCGTGGAGTACTAGCCTTTTTCTGGTTGAACGATGAATCGGTGAGCCGAGGGATGACTCCGTGAGTTGAGCAAGAAGGGACTCACAATTGTGGGACTCGGCGAGTCGACCAGGTGACTGGGCGATTAGGTTCACACAGGAAGGTTGACTTTGACTAAGGAGTTTGACTTTGACCAAGAGTTAAGCAGTGGACTTCCAAGGGTACTTTGGTAATTATTAGTATTTATTGATTTCAGTCTTTTGGTATTGATCTGCGGTGGAGTTCGTGTCGGAGGTTGGAGCAGCGTGATCTTATCTCTTTAGTCAGCGGTTGCGAGGTGAGTTATCCTCACTCTATCGACATGGTCTAAGGCACCAAGGTCGACCCTTTATCGGATGGAAATCCGGGTAATTGTTATGTTATTGATTTGCTATATATGTTTGCATCCTGGTAGTTTGGATGGTATATGTTAGAGACCTGGTTAAGTTCGAAATCCTGGTATATAGGATGATGATATGTTAGTGACCGGTTAGGTCGGTATCCTGGTTAGAGTGTGCTATATATGTGATCTGCTAGATCAGTTGGTTAGTGAGGAATTGCTATATGATTATATGTTTATGTACACATGGTTGACTGAGGTTAGGTTGAGGCGGGTCATGCTTTGTGTTGTAGACCAACATATCCAAGGCTGTCAAGATATCCCGAAGGCCCAGCGAGCGTTCCGGATAGGGTGTAGCCCCCACGAGGGTGCACCAGACGTACCGAGGCTCAGAGAGTGGACCAGGCCGACTGAAGGCTCGGTGCGGGCGGACCAGTCAAATTGTTTGGAAATTTTGGATGGTACATACAGTTTTGGTTTTGAAACTGCAAGCTCAAAATGCAAGTAAATTGACAGTAAAAAAAATGGGAGTGTTATTCAAAAACTGGCATATTAATAAGAAATAAAGAGAATTTAACACAGAGTACCAAAAAAAGATTAGCATATAACCAAATTTAAATCTCATTGTATATATAGGTAATATATTCATTGTCCATTTTTGTATCAAGCAAATCAAACACTACTAGGCATTTCAACGATCTTTCCATTCTTTTGTATGAAGTGGTGATTGTCAAATTTCGTGCCATGATCATAACGGAATGATTTGATTAATTCTCTTTAATTAACCAAAGCCCTTCTATCCAACTGTATTAGGTATTATATTCATTTCTTGAGGTTGCGGTTACAATTCTTGTTTGAGACAGGTGATTTAAGAGTAGTTTAAATTAGATTAGATTAGTTGTTCAAAAAAAAACTTTAACTAGTATTGGACATAAGCTTGAAAGTGGAGAAATCTTGCAAATGTGTCAGATTTATTGCATAAGCGATACACCCACAAGAAATAAGAGTAATGATCTAAAAACAGGATATAATAATTTATGCCAGTTACACTGATAACAGATAATAAGGGAGGTACAAAGATTAGGCTATACAATACAAAACATAGAAGAAACATGTGTATTTAAACAATCAAAATTAAGCAAAATGAATGCGTTTTTCAAGATGACAAGCATGGCAAGACAAACTAACATCGCTTTTATTACATGAGATAAAACAACTAATTAAAAAAGAATCAAGTACATGAGGACATGCCAATCATTGATTCCATATAGACCTGGTGGTGGAAAAGAGAGAAACATGAGATCGAGATCGAGTGGACAAATATAAGTCACATGAACTGTCATATCGAATGAGGATCTCGCGGGTACAAAAATCCATCAGCGAAAAAAAAAATCATCAAATTCATTAGTAACTTTATTATCTTTGGGTTTTTCCAACATGGGTGATGGGCATGTATAAACCATTGCTAACAACAACGAACTAAATGGTCTTTTAGAGCTAATAGAAAAGAGTATACCTATGTTCGAGGAAAGATCAGATTTGACGCCAATAATATTTGTATACAATCCAACGCCAGTAGTGAGTGTCATTGTGTAGAAAACATTAACAACATTGTATTTCATGATCAGATCTCGTTAATTAGGGGAAACCAGTGCTAAGGCTGAGCAATAGAAACATCATAAGCTTAAGTATGAAACATAACTTTATATATTGGTCCTTGGGCTTCCTTAATGTATGGGCATGTCTTCTTATTGTTGCAATGGTTAGGGATGATTCTCAATCTTTTAATAAGTCGATCTTTTAGTTAAGCATGGAGTAGCAGCAGGGAGTTGAACGGGTGAATTTCACAATAAGCTTAGAAGAGGGAAGTCATAGTGAAGCGAAGTGGCTAAGTAGTGGAGTATGGGATATTAAAAAAAAGTGAAAAATTAAAAATAGGTGTTAACTCATGCGGCTAGTTAGTGGCTTCCCGATTACAAAATGACTAAATCCAAAGTTTTCATTTACATTTCGTTTTTATTTTGGGCATACCAATATCGGTGACTAAATTACGCTTATTTAGGGTGCTTTGCGGAAGATTCTACTAAAATGGGGGGCTGACGTGTACATTTGAATGACATGGAGCTGCGGACGAAAGTCCTAATTTCAAAGGGGTAGTTTATGTAATTCTTGCTACATAAGAAATCAAATTCGAATTCGTTAATCTTGATAAACCTTAGCTGCGATAACCTATCTAAACTTGTGGAAATCGTTAGTATTATATATGGAAACAGAGCTGTGGTGGGATAATTTGAATCCTACTACAATACTAAATAATGCAGCACCTGTGGTTGATGCACATATATACATATATACATCCGATAGTCGAAACTCCCTCGTGAAGAATATCCGGAAAACCTGCAACCGTTGCAATTAATGGATTCTTCAAGAAGAGGCAACAATGGCGGACAACGTCCAAGTGGCAATCGGGAGTGGAACCAGCATACAAGTTTTAACAACATGCAGCGTCAGAGGGGCTTTCGTAGGGGTTTTGTGAATCGTGGAACCTCTCCACTTGTTTCAAATTCTTTCATGTCTCCACAAATGCATGTGCCAGTTCCCCCTTTTGGCAACAATTTCATGTATCCTGGTAAGCTTTTATTATTCAACTCTACATGTGGAATTAAACATGTTATGAATTTCTATACAAACTGGTTTTGATAAACGGGTTACATTTTCGAACCCCATCTCAACTTATTTATCACACGGGCTAACATTAGGTTGATGTATTTTTACAACCCTAACTTGTTAAATAAATAATTCATTTATATTTCATAATATGAAAAATACATCTAGTTAAATTAGTTAATAGTTGTTCAAAGTTAGAAAAAAGAAATCCAACTGCAAATACAAATTAGGTTTATGTATTTAATTTTTACAACCCTTTTTCTGTTTTGTTTGTATAATGCATTTTATGTACATGCAGATTTGGCCTCTTATGTTCAAGGTTCAACTCAATCTGCATCGCTGATGACACCGATGCAGTCTCCAGTGTCCTTACCTGTTCAAGATCAAGATTTGCATGAAAAGATTGTGAAACAAATTGATTATTATTTCAGGTTCTTTATAATCTCTCATATCTAAAACTTTTGTGGTGGTTTATAATTAGTTCAAAACAATTAACATCTTATTTCCCTTTGTTGCAGTGATGAGAGTTTGGTTAAAGATTTATACTTGCGACAAAAGATGGACGAACAAGGTTGGGTTCATGTCACTTTAATAGCAAACTTCAAGAAAGTAAGTATTATATACAAGATGCATAAATTGATGCATACACTTTTTTTGAAGCTTATGAGATTCAAACATGGGTCAACTCCATTTTAAAGTGTTTCATATAAAGTGATCACCATCATGCCACATTGATAATGGTCCCTTCATACACTCTCTTTTTTATGCTGCATTTGATATCAATTAATATCCCTGTTTTATTGCAGGTTTTGTGTTTAACTGACAATGTTAAGCTAATTCTTGATGTAATGCGGGCATCAAGAGCTGTGGAAGTGATGGTATGTATTAATCTTTTTCAAGTCATATCAAACATGTTCTAATTCATAAAAATATTAAATTCTATGTAACCATGTTATGGGACTTGATACTAAAATTCATTTTGTAGGGTGAGAAGATGAGGAAGCGAAATGATTGGATGAGATGGATTATCCCAAGTTCCATTAATGTTGAAAGCTGTCATGGTAATTCGGTATCGAATCGCAACATGGTGGAGGCTTCCATGGTTTTCAGGGGGCAACCATGGCTCAAATGAAGCTCGGGTACAAAAGAGAATAATGATGGAACATATGGTTTATAAGTAAAAGAATACGTTTTTCTTCCATTTTTTTTAAACGAGAAGATCTCGATGATGAATTATGTAGGGGATATCATGGATTTCTATGGCATATTGAAATTATGTTTTGAGATGTCCATTTAACACATACAAAACATGAAAATAATAATAATAATAATAATAATAATAATAATAATAATAAACAGAGAAAAAGGTGAAAAGAAGAAAAAAATGAATAAGACTTGAAACATAGAAAATCATATATTTAGTTTTTAACTTTGGAGAGTGGTTTCTTGGATGTTATGACTTTTCTTTGGATCTATGAAAATTATTAGATACGATTTTGTTTCTTTTTTTTTAGATGTTGGTTGGTTGTTTTCTAAAGGGTTGTTTTGCTTTTAATTTAATTAATAATGAAATTTATGGTTTAGACACTACATATATCGTTGTTTGTTTTTAATATCAATCTATAGACAATTATTTAAATGATTTCCAAACCAAAATCCTGCAATGCCTTTCAAAAATTATGAATATATGTGCATAGTTGGTCGAATCTATGCCAAAACACTACAAGAATAAACATCTATCCCGATGATATCTATTCCGATGACAACTTTCGTCGGTAAAAAATTTGTTGTGCCGACGACATGACGTCGGTATAGCGTTCTTTTTACTTTGACCAGATAGCATTGACCCGAGTCTCTATTCAGACAACTTGTCATCTCCATAGGTGCAGTAGGAATAAAAAACATTTTGGCGGTATACTAAAAACCTATGTTGACGACATGTGGTCGGTATATGTTACGAATTTTTTTAGTTTTGACTTGTTTATTTTCCTTGGTGTAAGAATTACTAACAACCTCTATATCGACGACATGTCGTTGAGATAAAAAATGGTGATCCGTATGACAGCGCTTTACCGACGACATGTCGTTTGGATAAAAACTGAAGATCCGTGTGACAGCTCTATACTGACGACATGTTGTCGGTATAGGGTTGTAGCCAATTAGAATGCAGTAGACATTTATTTCATTTGTAGAGATTGTTTCCTTAGCTCCTTCACCTCCCAACAAAGACTCATGCTTCAAAACCCTTGCTTTCCAACCACTACTCTTCACTTGTGACGACAACGACTTCTGGTAAGCTTACTAAATTTTGTTAATTTCATAGTTTTTTTTCACTGATTTGGTTGTTTTTTGGTGAAGTTGTGATCAGAGGACCACCTGACGACCCAACTTCTCCTTCCGGCCACCACAACCCACAAAACAGATAGCATATTTGATTTCTATTTTTTTAATGAATTGGTGTTTTTCTGATGACAACTAACCACCACCGGAGGACCATAGTATAAGCCGCCGACATGTCGTCAGAATAGGTATATAATAAAACTTTTTTTTTACATAAAAAATCACTCCCAACGATCCTTTGTAGACGACAAGTCGTTGGCATTGGTTTCTCTGTACCAACAACATTTATCCCAATGACATTTTCAATTTTACCGACAGGACTATTCCGACGACTTTGTACGGACGACATGTCGTCGGATAAGTGGTCCCGACGACCTGTCATCGGCATAGGGGTTGAAAATGTCATCTGTATAGACATCTTGTAATGAAATAATTCCAAAACCAAAGGTCGATTTTGAGTAAATTTTGAATACATTTGTTGTTGCTTTTTATATTTACAAAATCTGTATTATATGCTCTCATTTGAAACTTGAATCGTTGATCTTATTTTAATGAAAAATATTGCTACAGTGAAACACCCCGAGTTTAGAGGTGCAACTTCAGGGTGCTTGATCTAATTAAGGATGATCGACTCGGCGAGTCGAGTCACGATTTTGGTTGCGTGTTAAGTGACCAACTTGGTGAGTGGGCAGGTGGACTCGGCGAGTTGGCGTTGAAGGGAGAAAAACCCTAATCTGGAGTCTGTTCCATATATAAAGCACATTATAGCCACCCTCAGCCTCTTTACCTTCCCCTTTAGTTCCAGAAAACCCTAATTTCGTGTGATGCTTCATTGTTGGAAAGATTAGGGCTTAGAAGAGGAAATTGTGAAAGGAGCTTGGGAATTGGGAGTTAGCATCAAGAGGCTTGTAAAGATCTAGGATCTACATCAAAATTGTGCACATCTCTGAGGTAAGGAGCTCTTACCTTAAGCTATTTCCCTTGTGGTTCATCCTTGGTGGTTGTTTTGGGAGTTCCTCAAATTGTTTTGAGACCTATCTCGGATTTGGAGTTGGATCTGTGGTTGCTACTTCAGATCTAGACTCCTGATGGCCTAGAATGTCATAAAGCTTCAGTCTTTGAGTTGTTAGTGAAGCCGTTTGTCCTAAAAGTCTAGCCCTAAAGCATTTTGGGCTCATAGCTCCTGGAGTTCAAATAAAATTTGCCACTTTACGTGAGGAATGGCTTGTAGAAGGGTAGATCTAGGGATTTGAGCCCCTACATGGCTTGGAAAGCCTCTATATGGAATGAGAACTGAAGAGACTCGGCGAGTTCCATGGGTGAACTTGGCGAGTTGGATGAAGGTTGGCATGGACTCAACGAGTTGGAAGAACAACTCGGCGAGTCTGTTGAATATTGCCTTGGACTCGGCGAGTCTGGTTGTGGAGTCCTAACCTTTTTCTGGTTGAATGGTGAATCAGAGAGCTGAGGGATGACTTGGTGAGTTGAGCGAGAAGGGAATCAGAATTTTGGGACTCGGCGAGTCGACGGGGCGAATCGGCAAGTAGGGTCACACAGGAAGGTTGACTTTGACTGAGGACTTTGATTTTGACCAAGAGTTTACCAGTGGACTTCCAAGGGTACCTTGGTAATTATTCGTATTTATTGATTTCAATATTTTGGTATTGATCAGTGATGGAGTTCGTATCGGAGGTTGGAGCAACATGATCTTATCTCTTCAGTCAACAACTACGAGGTGACTTATCCTCACTATATCGACAGGGTCTAAGGCAGCAAGGTTGGCCCTTTATCAGATGGAAATCCGGGTAGTTGTTATGTTATTGATTTGCTATACGTTTGCATCCTGGTAGTTAGGATGGTATATGTTAGAGACCTGGTTAAGGTCGGAATCCTGGTATATAGGATGATGCTACGTTAGTGACCGGTTAGGTCGGTATCTTGGTTAGAGTGTGCTATATGTGTGATCTACTAGATACGTTGATTAGTGAGGAATTGCTATATGATTATATGTTTATGTGCACATGGTTGACTGGGGTTGGGTTGAGGCGGGTCCTGCTTTGTGTTGTAGGCCAACATACCCAAGACGGTCCGGATATCCCGAAGGCACATCGAGCGGTCCGATTAGGCTGTAGGCCCTACGAGGGTGGACCAGTCATACTGTAGACTCAGAGAGTGCTCCAAGTGGGTTAAAGGTCCGGTCCGGGCGGACCAACCACACTATAGACTCGATGTATATGGCTAGACTCGGATGGTGGACCAGGTGGACTAAAGGCCAAGTGCAGCGGATGAGTCACACAGTAGACCCGAAGTGCACGGTTGTTCTGTTTATGATATGATATGTTACGTGTATGGTATATATGGTTGGTGTTTTAGGGGTAACTCACTAAGCTTTCGGGCTTACAGTTTTCAGTGTATTGTTTCAGGTACTTCAGGAGATCGTGGCAATGCAAAGGCGTGATCGTACCGCTCCTCATGTTTTATGTGTTTATGATGTGGTTTTGGGAAATACTCTGATAATAAATGAATTTAAAACCTTTTTGTGTTAAATTAACGAATATGGCTTGCTTTTGAAAAGTTTAAATTGATTGGAAATTTTGGATGTTACAAGTTGGTATTTGTCACACCCCGAGACCGATGGTGGAAACGTTCCGGGGCGGAGGACGTTATGTAAAGTATCACAACCAATGTACATAGTAAGCATAGTAAACGCAAAACATTACAATACATAGGATCATTACATTTGTTTTAAAGTAGAAAAGCAAAGTAATACATATAGATACATAAGTTTAAACAAAAGTTAAGACGTGAATTCCATCTGCTCCGTCTTCTGCAAAAGGACGCGGGATACCTGTCTAAGGAGAACCTGAGAATACAAGGAGTTTAAAAATTAGCATAAAGTTGGTGAGTTCATAAGCGGTTTGTTTCTGAAAATGAACAAGTTTCCTTTAGTTTTCTGAAAAAGTTGTTATCCAAGAAAATCCCATATTTTCTTATAAGTAAAGTTTGTTTATCCATTTGTTACACAGTTTGGTTGAAAACAATTTGCTATCTGGTTACTACACGGTCTAGTTTAAAACGAGTTCTGTTATCCCAGGAAAAGCCCTTGTTTTCCTTAAAAGTTTGGAGTTGGTTACCGGTTCTGAATGTAATGTACAAGTATTGACCATACTTAAAGTATTTATGTGAAGTTTCCTGAAAGCCTGGTTATCCTTGAAATGTATGTTAGTTTTAACACATATATAAAACTATTATGTGGGAAGTAAACTAATTCTTAAAGTTATTAGCTTACTAATTTCATTATTACCAATATGTAAATCTCTATTATCTAAATTGCGAGTTCCATAACCATACGATAGACTAGATATGGCAATATGAAGTCTAGTATCATTTTATGACTTTTGTCACCCTTAAACCTTTCGGTTCGACTGTAGCTAGCAGCCAGGTGCGGGGTTGTCAATCCCGTATAGATCTATACACTCAAATCACACACTCCAATCCAGGAGATTTTGGTTACAGGGGCGGTCCTCCACTCGCGTATCTCTGTGGGGTGTTTCCGAGGACGTGTCTCCAATTATTAAGATTAACAAATTTACAAGTAATAATGTGAAAAATCCTGTTTGTGATTCTGGTTACAAAGGGGATCCTCCACTCGCGTATATCTATCGAGTGTTACCGAGGACGTGTTCTAAAGTTCTAGGTTGATGATTTTTAACATAAATGAAGTGGAAAAATCATTGGTAAAATATACAATATAACACTATATAATAAGGGTTACAATTAGTTTGAAAACTAACTCTGCAAGTCAAGTAGTTGGTTAATACGATTTCCAGGGTTAAAAGTATATGAAATACGAAACATTTCAAATGAAATAATAAGTTTAAGTACAATATATTCTTGTACTTTTGTTTGTATTCCCCCTGAAAACATTGAAAAACACGGAAAAGGTGTAGGGGTATGAACTCACCAGACGAGAAACGTGTCGGTTGGATGCTAAATGACAGATCAAGGC